TTTGATTCTGTTATGGAAATAGCTAACAAAACAGTAATATTGCACCAAAAAACTGCAAAACAAATGTGTTTTAATTCATTATAAATTCGGAGAGTGAAAGAAATGCAAAACTCACAGATGGTCTAAAATCTGGTTTTCCAGCAGTTAGGTTTGAGCTCAGTTGGCAGAGATTTCATTTAGTCTTCATGCACACTTGACATCAGGGGCGGACTGACAACTCATGGGGCCCCCAGGCAATAGGGGATCATGGGGCCCTTGTGTCCTTGCCCAAACTCAAAGCAACAAGGCAGGGCAGGACGATGCCATTTCCTGGAGTTTTTTGGCCAGGCAGGTAAGCAAATGATCTACACCTATAGCAAGGGCATTATTCAAATCTAGTTAACCACTTCCAGTCCGGACACTTTTACCCCCTTCCTGACCAGGGCAATTTTCAGCTTTCAGCTATTTTGAATGACAATTGCACGGTCATGCAACACTGTACCCAAATGAATTTTTTACCATTTTTTTTTGACACAGATAAAGCTTTATTTTGGTGGTATTTATTCACCGCTGGGATTTTTATTTTTTTTGCTATGTAAATGAAAAAGTCCAAAAATTTTGAAAAAAAGTGTTTTTTTTTTTTTAAATTTTGCAAATAAATAATATTTCATCATAAATCTTTGCCAAAATGTATTCCGTTATCTTTTTAGTAAAAAAAAAAATCCAAATTAGTTTTATAAACCAAAAATTATAATTTTTAAACATTTTTTTTTACATTTTTATATTATTTTTTATTTATTTATTTTTTTTACATACTGTCACCCTAGCAGTACAGTGTCACCATGGTGACACTGTACTACTTGTGGGGGGTGATGAAGATTTTTTTTTTTTTTTTTACACTGATTGCTTTTACACCCATATAGGATGTAAAAGCAATCATTTCTCTTTCTCTCTGTGTGCATTCATTGAGAAGTACTGAGTGAGCTGTGATTGGTCACAGCTTGTCACATGGTACAAGGCTGTTGTGAATAGCCTTGTACCATGTGACCTCTGTGATCATTCACAGATTTCACACGTAGTAAGCAATGATGTCACAAGTGACATCTTGCTTACTACTTTGCATGTGATCACTGATTGGCCAATCAGTGATCACATGATCGGTACCTCGTACAGAGGTCCCGTGCGACGATCGGTGTTTCACTGTGTCCGGAGGACACAGCGGGCACCGGATCGCGGGTGCTGCGCGCTCCCAGGGAGCGTGCACAAGCAGGGTGTGGGGAGGCCGTTTATAGACGGCCACCCGACCCTGCACTGCCACCGTCCGTTTATATGCAACGGGCCGGTCGGGAAGTGGTTAAAGCCGCACAGTGTATATTTATCTACAGGAGCCCCTTGCCTGCAGAGGTGGGTTTTATGTAACCCCTTAAAGGCTAACTTCACCTTCTAGAAAGAATAATAAACATAGTTTTGCTGAAAGAAAACTTTATTGCACATTACAGGCACCTGCAAAAGCATTGAACCCAGTGCAGCTGTTAGAAAGGACGGGGCCCCATACAGCCAACCTGATAGGGTCTGACCCCCCAAGAAAAATTTTTTTTACTATGCTTCAGTTTTTATTGAATGGTGATCGGTACTGATCGCTCTTTGTGTTCATTCAGGAAAGGAAGGGGTTGGTAAATGTGACCCTTCCCTTACTCTCTATCCTGAAGGATTCTTTTATGTGCTTGCAGCTGCAGGTGGGAAGGAGAGGAGGAAAGCCGGCAGCACTGTGGGTGGGGGAACACAGGGGAGTCTGGGCCAGGGGCTGACCGACAACTCATGGGGCCCCCGGGCAATAGGGGATCATGGTGCCCCTGTGTCCTTGCCCAAACTCAAAAAAGCCTATGAAAAAAGGACCAGGGGCACCTCATGGGGCCCCCTACTGACCCCAGGCCCTCGGGCAGTGCCCGAGTTTCTAAATGGTCAATCCTCCCCTGGTGTGAAGGCAGCTTATTCATTTGAATTGTCTGCCTAATGCCCCAAAAATGGTGCATGCCCTATTTTTTGTAACTCAGAACATCACAAAGCCCAAATAGGGCAATACCAAGCATTGTGACGGTATGTCCGGGTCCCATGAATGATGAATGCCACCACAGAGAAACATTGTGAATCTGGCCTTATGCTACACTGACAGTACGACATGGAGAGCGTGAGCCAATCATAAAGGTCACAGCAGGTGTGCAGATCCTCCTCTTTGAGGGACATACAATGCCATGAAGTGGTTTAACATGGAATAATGTTTCCTGAGACAAAAATGCTTCCAATAGTTATCTACTTCATGAGAAAGAATTCTCTATTAACGCTCCTGAGAAATGCAGTTAGGCGACTTGCAAATATACACTCCCCGGTCACTTTATTAACTACACCTGTGCAATTGGTTGGTAACACAAATTGCTAATTAGCCAATCACATGGAAGCAACTCAATGCATTTAGGCATCTAGATGTGGTGAAGACGACTTGCTGAAGTTAAAACCGAGCATCAGAATGGGGAAGAAAGGGGATTTAAGTGGCTTTGAACGTGGCATGGTTGTTGGTGCCAGACAGGCTGGTCTGAGTATTTCAAAAATTGCTGATCTACTGGGGTTTTCATACTCAAACCTCTCTAGGGTTTACAGACAATGGTCCGAAAAAGGGAAAATATCCAGTGATTGGCAGTTGTGTGGATGAAGATGCCTTGTTGATGTCAGAGGAGAATGGACAGACTAGTTGCTGTGACATCCAGATGGTAGGGTCAGAATTTGGCATAAACAACATGAAAGCATGGATCCATCCTGCCTTGTATTAACGGTTCAGGCTGATGGTGGTGATGTCATGGTGGGGGGGGTGGGGGGGGAAGATATTCTTGGCAATAGGAGAATGGGGCAACAACAGGAAAGCATGGATCCATCCTGCCTTGTATCAATGGTTCAGACTGGTGGTGGTGTAATGTGGAGAATGGGCCAAAAACATGAAAGCATGGATCCATCTTGCTTGTATCAATGATTCAGGCTGGTGGTGGTGGTGTAATGTGGAGAATGGGCCAACAGCAGGAAAGCATGGATCCATCCTGCCTTGTGTCAATGGTTCAGGCTGGTGGTGGTGTAATGTGGAGAATGGGCCAACAACAGGAAAGCATGGATCCATCCTGCCTTGTGTCAATGGTTCAGGCTGGTGGTGGTGTAATGTGGAGAATGGGCCAACAGCAGGAAAGCATGATCCATCCTGTCTTGTATCGATGGTTCAGGCTGGTGGTGGTGTAATGTGGAGGAGACTGGGCCAACAACAGGATAGCATGGATCCATTCTGCCTTGTAGCAATGGTTCGTGGTGGTGGTGTAATGTGGAGAATGGGCACAACAGGAAAGCATGGATCGTTCCTGCCTTGTATCAATGGTTCAGACTGGTGCTGGTGGTGGTGTAATGTGGAGAATGGGCCAACAACAGGATAGCATGGATCCATCCTGCCTTGTATCAATGGTTCAGACTGGTGCTGGTGGTGGTGTAATGTGGAGAATGGGCCAACAACAGGATAGCATGGATCCATCCTGCCTTGTATCAATGGTTCAGGCTGGTGGTGGTGTAATGTGGAGAATGGTCCAACAACAGGAAAGCATGGATCAATCCTGCCTTGTATCAATGGTTCAGACTGGTGCTGGTGGTGGTGTAATGTGGAGAATGGGCCAACAACAGGATAGCATGGATCCATCCTGCCTTGTATCAATGGTTCAGGCTGGTGGTGATGGTGGTGTCATGGTGTGGGGGGGATAATTTCTTGGCACTAGCAAGGTGTACCTAATAAAGTGGCCGGTGAGTGCATGTTGTCTTTAACTAAACCATCATTTCCACCCCTCTTATCAGTACAAAGAGTGCAAGGACAGGTAACTATAGCCAACCAGCTAACTGGCCTCCAATATGATAAAATCTTACCCCATTCAAATGTATGTAAACCCAACTGTTACCATCTATTTTTCAGTATGTTTGACATTATGCCTTCCTGTGCGATGCTTTCTTAACTGCTTGCCGACCCGCTGCAATACGTATAATGCATCAGGGTGACAGCTACAGGCAGGGTGATCTACTGGTATGTCACTGCCAATTTGTGGGTTGGGGGTGCGAGCACACCTCCGCCTGCCTACTCCCTTGAGATTTGACACGTCGGGAGTTTGTCAACAGATCTCGGCTAATGATTCAAGGCAGAGACCTGCTGATCCCCCGATCATAGCCCAGAGCCCCGTGTTGATGAGGAACACAGGACTCTATACAGCGGGAACAATCATTTTGTTTCTTTTCCCTGCTAAGCAGGGAAAAGAAACAAATGGATATTTAGTGATAGGAAGCACACACATTAACACCTGTTAGGCACACAATTAACCCCTTGATTGCCCTTAGAAGTTAATTCCTTTGCATCCATCATCATTAGGACTGATCACTGTATCAGTGTCAGATTGCCCTATAAGTTGCTGATCGCCTCAATTACCAGTAAAAAAAAAAAATACAAATTCCAGTCTACAGTATATACCATCCAGGGGCGGACTGACCATTCAGAAACTCAGGCAACGCCCGAGGGCCCGGGGTCAGTAAGGGGCCCCATAAGATGCCCCTGGTACCTTTCATAGGCTTTTTTGGGTGTGGTTTGAGCGTGGGCGAGGACACAGGGGCCCCATGATCCCCTATTGCCGGGGGCCCCATGAGTTGTCAGTCCGCCCCTGATACCATCGTTTATAAAGTTAACACAATGATTTTTGCACAATCCAATTAATATATACTTATTGGGATTTTTTACCTAAAATATGAAGCAGAATACATTTTGGCCTAAATTTATGAAGTTTGATTTTTTTTTATTGAATATGTTTTATAACAGAAAGTAAACATGTTATTTTTAAATTTTGTCTTTTTTTGTTTATGTATTGAAAAATCAAGTGGAGGTCAAATACCACGAAAAGAAAGCTCTATTTGTGTGAAAATACTGTGGTTACAGTGTTGCATGACCATGCAATTGCCAGTTAACCTCCCTGGTGGTATTCCCGAGTGTAGCTCGGGGTAAAGTTTCAGCACCACAAGCGGTAACAACCCCGAACTACACTTGGGAATACACTGCAGCGTTGCTCCGGGATCTCTTCTACACTTACCTTGTCCTGCGCTCCCGCGATGTCCCCCCTGCAGTGTCCCCGGCAATGTCCTCCAGCCGATGCCGGCATCTGTCTTCTGTTCTGTTCCCTGTGGACGTACGGGGGATGGAACCGGCGGGAAATTTGAAAATGACAAAAAGTGACATTCACTAAAATCACATAGTATCCACATAGTTCCTGTATCAAACCATTTCACATACATTTTGTCCCGAGTGCTTTGTCCGGCGCCCTGCCTGCATTTTTACTGTTCTTTCTGCCTGGAAACTGCGAAACGTCCATGGCGTCCAAAAAGCGTCCCTTTAGGTCAAAAGTGGTTTTAGACGGCTAGAGAACAGCGATAGTAAATCAGAACCACTTGCAGAATTGAGTGATAATGATTCGTGGGGGAAATTCCTCATCAGACACTGAAAACGATTCTGCGACTTTGCTCAGTGATGTGTGAACTTGGCGCTCTATTTCAAGTTTCAGTGTTTTTGGTTTGATTATATTATTGAATTAAATTTTTTATTATTATTATATTATTTTTTATGATTATTTATTAAATTATAATTTATGATTTAACGTTTCAAATTGTAACATACTCGGGATGTTTACTAGACTCTTGTTCGGACATATTTCAGTGAGTTATTCCTAAAAATTACAGGCCTACAATAAAAAAAAAAATACATATTTCCATGCAAAAAAAGTATCGCTCTAAGCACAGAAATACTGACGTAATCATACTGCTAGGCAGGTTAAAGTAGCGCAGTGCTGAATAACAAAAACAAAAAGGCCTGGTCACGAAGGGGGTAAAACCTTTTGGAGCTGAAGTGGTTAAGAAAGTTTGTTAATCTGCGATTCGGCCAAGAACGGCAAACTGATAACGCTAAGCCAAGGCCATGCAAGCGCTTTCATGTAGCCATTGAACCGCCTCTCTGATGGACCTGACAAGCAGCCCAACAGTCAACTGAAGAAACACACGGCAGGATGACAACACTGCTGTTACTGGCAGGATCTCCAGGTAAGAAATTTTGTAACAGATTCCCAAGTATTTGATTAAGGAAACCATACAGAGCAAAGCATGATGGGAAGTATTCAGGTTTGGAAGAATTAAACGTTATGGAGGAGCTTTAGTTTTTCAGGATAAAAACGCAACTCAGCTACATTAATTGGCCAAGTTTTCGGCACCCATAGAAGCTGGTTGGTCATCATATTCAAAATGTTGGATCTATCTGGGGGGAATTCAGGCCCATTCAGCGATGGTGTTGGAGGAGGAGCCCTGCTCACAATCTGCACTTCAGTTCATCACAAAAGTATTCATTGAGGTTGAGGCCAGAACTCTGTAAATCAGCCACGTTCCTTCACAGAAAACCACAGGGTTCATTTACTAAAACGGGAGAGTGCCAAATCTGGTGCAGCTCTGCATAGAAACCAATCAGCTTCCAGGTTTTTGTTTTTTTTTGGGGGGGGTCAAAGCTTAATTGAACAAGCTGAAGTTAGAAGCCAATTGGCTACCGTGCACAGCCGCCCCAGATTTTGCACGCTCCAGCTTTAGTAAATCAGCCCTCATGCCTTTATGACATTGGTGCCGTGCCCAGGGGTACAGTAAAGGTTGAACAAGAACATGGCCTTACCCAGGGGCGGACTGACAACTCATAGGGCCCCCGGGCAATAGGGGATCATGGGGCCCCTGTGTCCTCACCCACACTCAAAAAAGCCTATGAAAGGTACCAGGGGCATCTCATGGGGCCCCCTACTGACCTCAGGCAGTACCCGAGTTCCCAAATGGTCAGTCCGCCCCTGGCCTTACCCAAACTATTATTACGAGGTTGGAAGAGCACAATTATCTAAACATGTCTTTGTATACTGGATGTGATCAGTGCCCTTCACTGGCAACAATCGAACTCTAGAACTACTACACAATGGGGTTGATTTACTAAAAGCAAATAGACTGTGTACTTTGCAGTTGCTCCAGAGCTTCCATCATCCAAGCAAACATGCTTTATTTATTTATTTTAATTTTCCTTGCATGTGATTGGGCATTCATGGTAAAAGTGAAGCTTTGCCTCATTCACTAAGCTCTGGAGCAATTGCAAAGTCGTTTTGCCTTTAGTAAATCAACCCCATTGCAGCTGTGATTATCATTCTACAGGATTTATATTTATTTATTTCAGGTACTTAAATAGCCCATCAATTTACGCAGCGCTTTACATATATATTGTACATTCACATCAGTCCCTAACCCTCAAGGGGTGTACAATCTAAGGTCCCTAACTCACATTCATACATACACATACTAGGGCCAATTTAGACAGGAGCCAATTAACCTACCAGCATGTCTTTGGAGTGTGGGAGGAAACCAGAGTACCCAGAGAAAACCCACGCAGGCACAGGGAGAACATGCAAACTCCAGGCAGGTGGAGACGTGCTTGGGATTCGAACCAGCGATCCTATTACTGCCAGGTGGAAGTGCTAACCATGTAGCCACTGTGCTGCCCAACAGATATATAGCACCAACAATTGCACAGTGCTTTACAAAATGAATGGTCAGATGGTCACAAATGGGTCATATTGATTTACTAAAACTGGAGAGTGCAAAATCTGGTGCGCATGGTAGCCAATCGGCTTCAACTTTCAGCTTATTCAATTAAGTTCTGGCAAAAGAAAAAACTGGAAGCTGATTGGTTACCATGCACAGCTGCACCAGATTTTGCACTCTCCGGTTTTAGTAAAATCAACCCCGTTGCAAAATTATCAGGATGGTTTCTAGTACTTGAATCCTTGCACCGATAACAAATGTAGTTCATGAACCCCTTCCCGCCACCACCTCCCAGACCTTAAAGAGCTTTTACATGTCAGGTGGCGGAGGCAGGAATTTTGCTAGAACGCTTTGGGAGCTTTCTGGTCCCCACAGATGTCTGTGCCGGGAGTGCGCAGGGCGCGCAGAGAGAGTTGTTATTTTTCTTCTTGCAGAGTCCTTTCCTCCATTGTAATATTGCACAAGCCATATATCACCAATCCCACAGGACCACCTGACCCATTGGCCTCCTATGTGTTGGAAGAACCGTCTACGATCCACCTCACTAGTATACCAAAGATGCATTGCGATACAATAAGGCACTCTATAGGTGTCCCCTTGAGTGTTGTGTAGATAATCGGCCCAATGTTGCATCATTGCTTTTTGAAACTTTTAGTGCACAGATGGGCAGGTACAGCTGTAATATATAGTAGCTGCTGCTCCTCCTCCATTTTTAACAGAAATGAAGATGGAAGGCAGATCTCTCAAGAAAATAAGGATGTGCTGGTCTTCACAAAAAAAAAAAAAAAAAAAAATCTATGGCCTGTTTCATATAGGATTTAGCTTGTATAAGAACAGTGTGAACAGCAATCTTTGACAAGGCATTTACAGAGAATTCAGCAAGTTTTGAAGCTTTTAAAGTACCATTCAGCTCCAGTTTGTTGAACACAGATCCTATTGAGTGTTGATTGCCACTTTAAAACAAGCTGCTAGCAGGCTTCAGAACTTCTTAAAGCTTGTTGAAAGCCTACCAGTAGCTTGTTTAAACCCCCTGGTGGTATTCCCGAGTGTAGCTCGGGGTAAAGTTTCAGCACCACAAGTGGTAACCTCGAGCTACACTCGGGAATACACTGCAGCGTTATTCCGGGATCTCTTCTTCACTTACCTTGTCCTGCGCTCCCGCGATGTCCCCCCTGCAGTGTCCCCGGCAATGTAATCCGGTGGATGCCGGCATCTGTCTTCTGGGTTCCGTTTCCTGCGACGTCGGGACGTACGGGGGACGGAATGGCGGGAAATTTGAAAATGACAAAAAGTGACATTCACTAAAATCACATAGTATAACACTACTGAACCAAACCATTTCACATACATTTTGTCCCGAGTGCTTTGTCCGGCGCCCTGCCTACATTATTACAATTCTTTCTGCCTGGAAACTGAGAAACGTCCATGGCGTCCAAAAAGCGTCCCTTTAGGTCAGACGTGGTTTTAGACCGGCTAGAGAACAGCGATAGTAAATCAGAACTACTTGCAGAATTGAGTGATAATGATTCGTGGGGGAAATTCCTCATCAGACACTGAAAACGATTCTGCAACTTTGCTCAGCGATGTGCGAACTTGGCGCTATATTTCAAATTTCAGTGTTTTTGGTTTGATTATATTATTGAATTAAATTTATTATTTTTTATGATTATTTAAATTATAATTTATGATTTCGTGTTTCAAGTTTTATCATACCCGGGATGTTTACTAGACTCTTGTTCGGACAGATTTCAGTGAGTTATTCCTAAGAATTACAGGACTACAATATAAAACGCCAACTTTCTATGCAAAATAATGGTACCGCTTTCAGCACCAAAAATCTGAAATAATCATACAGCCAGGGAGGTTAAAGTACCATTCAGCTCCAGTTTGTTGCACACAGATCCTATTGAGTGTTGATTGCCACTTTAAAACAAGCTGCTAGCAGGCTTCAGAACTTCTTAAAGCTTGTTGAAAGCCTACTAGTAGCTTGTTTAAAGTGACAATCAACACTTCCATTAGATTTTGTGTTCAACATTTAAAAGTACCAAGGGTTAGGGACTGATGTGAATGTACAATATATATGTAAAGTGCTGCGTAAATTGACAGCGCTATATAAGTACCTGAAATAAATAATAAATAACTCCAGCTTGTAAAAGCTCCAACAAAGCTTGCTGAAAGCTCTGCAAATTGCTGGTCAAAGTTTGCTATTCACACTGCTCTTACACAAGCTGAAACTGGCCTTCTTCAACAGGATGAAAGAGCAGGTCTTCAGCTGAAGCTAAAGTTCAGCCTTAAATATGACACTTTGATTTACAATAACCAAAATCAGCCAATCAGAACCCGCCCATCACTAATCTGACACAAACTGTCAAAGACTGAATTCTGATTGGGTATCTTAAGTTTGGTCAAGTCTTCTCTACATACTGACATTTTTTTCTTTCCTATTCTGTACTTACACAGTTAATTGACAAGGGTGGAATGGAAATTTATTATTAATGAAATTTCAGTTTGGGGGGGAGGGGGAATTCTGCAACAGTCTGCATACAAAGAACTAGCTCAATCTTCCAAACACTGGTAAGACTGGTAGTGGAATTGTCCTGGCCACTGATATTGATCACACTACTATCAGATATTGGTCCTGGCCACACAGATACTATTCCATATTGACCATTGCTGGGATAGATTCCGACTGTGCGTGGAGGACAGTCAGGTGGCTCAGTGTGGTGGCTATATACACTTCCTGAGGTAGAATTGTGCAGTCAGCTTTGCAATTAAGGATGGAGGTAGCATTGTTTTCATGTAATAAGTCCACAGTTCCCGGTACGACAGTCAGGTTCTGGTAGTGACCGTTCTCTGTGTAAGTGAGCTTCTCTGCAGGTTTAGATGAATCTTCGCTGTCCTCTTCAGTAAGCTCCGATTTCTGCCCATCTTCAGCTTTTGGATCCAGAACAACAAGGAATGACTTCCAGGGCATGTTTTTGTCATGTATCTTCACCAAAAGAAAAGAGAACAAGTATAAGATAACAGAACCTCTCTCATTTACATCAGTGCTGTCTAAAACACAATACAAAAATCAGACTACATTCTGGTCACCAAGACTCAGGAGGTGGATCTTCGCAGCTGGGACATGGATGGCAATACCAACAAGTCCATGGTTCTAAACACTTCCCAGGTCTATCCAAAATTGGAAACATTTGCATTTTTGGTTTACCGCTCAGCTAATCCTCACAGTTTTGAGGCAAGCAATGAAGAACACAGACAAACGTGTGGCGGAATCTGTGTCTTGTGATACACTCCAAGAAAAGGATTTTATATGTAAACCAAAAATCCAAATCTCCTAATGCAGTGGTTCTCAACCTTCCTAATGCCGTGACCCTTTAATACAGTTCCTCATGTTGTGGTGACCCCCAACCATAAAATTATTTACCCAGTAATTATAATTCATGAGTGTCGTTTTACCTCCAATATACAGTAGCTGCTTTCAACACAGTAGCTGCTTTTAACAGAGCAGCTGCTTTCAACATAGCAGCTGCTTTCTACACAGTAGCTGCTCTTTACACATCGGAAATATGTGTTTTCTGATGGTCTTAGGGGACCCCTGTGAAAGGGTCGTTCGACCCCCAAAGGGGTTGCGACCCACAGGTTGAGAACCACTGTCCTAATGGTACATCACAGGACACCGGGTACTTCATCTACAGGACTACTTGGGATGTCCCAAGACACGGAATATAAAAGGGGTGGGCAACACGGCAACAAGACCAACATACCCTCCCAAAAAAATTAGGGAAGAACCCAATACAAAGCTGCCTGCAAGACCTTTTGGTAGCACTTAGTAAATGTGTGAATAGAGGACTAGGTAGAAGCCTTATAAACGAGCAATGAGTTTTTTTTTTTTTTCAAATACAGTTGTGTTCAAAATAATAGTGTGTTGAAAAAAGTGAATAAAGCTCAAAATCCTTCTAATAGCTTTTATTTCCATCCACACAAATGCATTGGGAACACGACACATTCTATTCCAATCAAAACATGAAGAAAAAAGATCAAATTTGTGTTGTTCCTCTAAAACAATTGAAGAAAAGTGAATATTAGACGGTTCAAAAAAATCGCAGTGTTTGTATTCTTCTTTACAAACTCAAACATTCACTATATAAACTGAGAAATGTTTGAAGATTTTGCTTTCCTTTGAATGACTTCATGAATATTTGGTTGTAGTCGCACTGTTTCTGAGAACTGCTGTACCTCTGTGTTGCATGGAGTCACCCAACTTCTGGCCCCTGTGATCAGGTATTCCAGCCCAGGATGATTGGACCACATTCCACAGTTCTTCTCTATTTCTTGGTTTTGCCTCAAACTGCATTTTTGATGTCACCCCACAAGTTTTCTATTGGATTAAGATCCGGGGATTGGGCTGGCCACTCCATATCGTCAATCTTGTTGGTCTGGAACCAAGATGTTGCACGTTTACTGGTGTGTTTGGGGTCGTTTTCTTGTTGGAACACCCATTTCAAGGGCATTTCCTCTTCAGCATAAGGCAGCATGACCTCTTCAAGTATTCTGATGTATTCAAACTGATCCATGATCCCTGGTATGCGATAAATAGGCCCAACACCGTAGTATGAGAAACATCCCCATATCATGATGCTTGCACCACCATGCTTCACTGTCTTCACAGTGTACTGTGGCTTGAATTCAGTGTTTGGGGTCGTCTGACAAACTGTCTCCGCCCACTAGAACCAAAAAGAACAATCTTACTTTCATCAGTCCACAAAATGTTGCACCATTTCTCTTTAGGCCGGTCAATGTGCTCTTTGGTAAATTGTAACCTCTTCAGCACACGTCTTTTTTCCAACAGTGGGACTTTGCGGGGGCTTCTTGCAGATGGCTTGGCTTCACATAGGCGTCTTCTAATTGTAACAGTCCTCACAGGGAACGTCACACCTTCTTTCATCTTCCTGGAACCGATTGTTGGCTGGAGTCCGCGCCATTTTGGCTATTCTTCTATCCATTCCAATGGTAGTTGTTCGCTTTCTTCCACGTCTTTCAGGTTTTGGTTGCCATTTTTAAAGCATTTACCATCATTTTAGCTGAGCAGCCGATCATTTTCTGCACTTCTTTATATGTTTTCCCTCTCCAATCAACTTTTTAATCAAGGTATGCTGTTCTTCTGAACAATGTCTTGAACGACCCATTTTCCTCAGAATTTCAGAGAGAAATGCACTGTAACCAGCATGTCCAACATTTGCTGCCTTCCTTCCTTAAATAAGGGCAATAATTGCCACCTGTTTTTCAAAGAATGAATGACCTCACTAATAGACCTCCACACTGCTATTATTTTGAACATGCCCCTTTCAATGAGTGATTCAATGACACAGAATCAGCAGCATGCATGTCATGACTGTGGGTCTGTTGGATTTCTATTACTCTACTACACCTGCTAGTAAATTATTTGCCATGTAGAAATATCATTTCTACCAAAAACAGTGATTGATCCGGTTAGTGATGTCTGACTGCTATTATTTTGAACACAACTGTAAATAAAAAATAAAGGGTTTACAAACCTGTTCTACTTACCTGCTCTGTGTAATGGTTTTGCACACAGCAGCCAAGACTCTCCTTTTCTTGGGTCCCCCGCTGCCGCTTCTTGTTCCTCTCTCCACCACAGCAAGCTGCTTGCTATAAGGGCAGTCATGGGGGCTTCTCCTGGCAGAGAACAGGGAATGGATCTTTGCAGGAAAAACTCAAGACACTGCAAGTTGAAGCAATACCATCCAAAAAGACACCTTTGCGTGTAAGAAGGGACAAGGGAATCTCTTAGAAAGCCTCAAAAAGAAGAAGCCTAGCAAAAAAGACAAGACTGACCTACGGTCTTCTAGAGACAAAAAGGTGGAACAACCCATGTGACACCCTGTACAAAGGCTTTTAAAAAAAAAATTAGATGCCATAGGTCTTGGACCCAGAATCACCAAGACTTGATCTGCTCCTTGATGATACTTAAAGCCAGAACCATCTCCACAACAGATTGAAGAAAAGCCAAAATGTGCCCTACAACATACTATTGTGGATGAAAATCATGAGCCTCACACCAGGGGAAATAAGCCTTCCATGATTGATACGAAACCTTCTTGGAGGTCAAATCTCTTGTCTTGGAGGAGGATTAGGATCACAGAGTCAGAAACACCCGTATCACTCAGGTCCTGGGCTTCAACACTGATGCCGTCAGAGCAAGTGACCACAAGACAGCCTGGAGGATCGGACCTATGACAGCAAATCTGTCCACTCTGGAGGAGCCCAAGGCTCATTTGCCAAGAGACTTAAGATGCCTGCGTACCTTGTTTTTCTTGGACAAGCAG